GGGTCTATACACACACTGTGCTGAGAGAGAAGACTTAACACACACCGTACCGAGAGAGAGGGGTCTATACACACACTGTGCTGAGAGAGAAGACTGTTAACACACACCGTACCGAGAGAGAAGACTGTTCACACACACTGTACCGAGAGAGAGGGGTCTATACACACACTGTTAATAAATGGACACAGCCCATTGCCAAGCTGCCTTTACTGTGACCAGCTCTCACTCACCTTCTCCAGCTCCAGCAGGTGAAACCGCAGCACCTGTATGGCTTGTATCATCTGCAGGAGACAGGGAGGAGAGATGGAAGCACGGGGATATTCCGATATTCCTCTTTCCTGACCTGCCCTCTGCCTGCTTAGTGACTGGTAACAAACTCATAACAAATCAAATCCCAGTCTCTCGCTACTCTGCAGCAGTGCCTGCATTCTGTGCTGCTGGGTGGGCAAATTCTCTCCCCAGTCTAAAAATCCTCCAGGGACTCCTAGAGGAAGTCAGGAAGTCAGGATTACTGTGTGGAATAACTGTCATATTGCGTTTCTCAATGTAGGGGGCTCAGTCGGGTTACCCACTGCGAAGGCAGCAACAGGGTGTCTTCATTCTGACCTCACACCTAACAAAGGGTTAGACAGAGCAGAAGAGTTAATGCGTCAGTGAGGTCTGTCCGTCATACCAGGTTGTCCAGTTCTGGGTTGGAAGAAAACAGAGGCTTTTCTGAGCGGATCTGAAACAGAAAAACAATAATATCAGCAACAGTAATTAGAAGTCAGGGCAGTGGTTGATGGAGTCTTCAGTCAGTGTGTCGTTTCATCACTGTGGCTGTTGGTTAGTGGAGTGTTGAGTCAGTATAATAGTGTATCAGTGTTCAGTCCATCACTGTGGCTGTTGGTTGGTAGAGTTGTTAATTTAGCAATGTATCAGTGTCTGTACATCACTGTGGCTATTGGTTAGTGGAGTGTTGAGTCAGTATAATAGTGTATCAGTGTTCAGTCCATCACTGTGGCTGTTGGTTAGTAGAGTCTAGAGTGTTACCCTGTATTGGGCACCAGTATGTGATTCAGTGCATTCAATTGTCAGGGTGCCTTAATATACCAGCGACATGAGTATGTCAGGGCCTCAGTGCATCAGTGCACTTCTCTCAGTGTCTCACTGTCTCACTGTCTCAGTGCATTAGTGCCCAGGACCTGTTTGGCGAATGCAGCAATGTCCTCGTTGAAGGAGTCAGAGGAGCAGACGTCGCTGTGTGAGGTCAGGGCGGCTGGCTCGCGGGGTGAGCAGGTGGCCAGTTCACACTTCTCAAACACCAGCGCCAGCAGTGGGAACAGCGGGTGTCTGTGGGGACACATACAAATACAGCTCTAACACGGTCGCGGTGCTGGCAGTGCACCTGTGAATTAGCACACCGACGAGGCCATGCGACACCTACCCATAAATCTGGTCCTTGTGGTGTTTGAGTCCATCGCCCCCCCGGTGAGAGGCGTAGTGGGGAGTCTGGCTCAGTGGGGGAGCGATTGGGCGGATGGTCATAACGTCGCTGAACCCCCCTCCACATGCTGTCTCCACTGAGGGGTACTGCAGCACATCCTCATACTGAGAGAGA